CATAAAAATTTCACTGAAGTCAGTAAAAAGTTATACAAAATTTGTATTTACATGTTTAAGATCCTCATTGTACTTTTCTTGAAGTAATAATGACATACAAAAGCTCAAAAGATTAATAATGAAAAGTCCTGATAAGTCAATAAATAGATTTCATTATAAGCTAAATGTAAGAGACATAAAGTATTTGTTTGCTTTTTTTTTTTCCCAAAGATTATCATGGTCCCTTGTCAAGTGGAAACAGCACTCAGATCAGTGGTTCTCAAACCTTCGGTGCATAAACATCACACAGGCTTATAACATGCAGATTCCTGGCCCCTGTTCCCAGAGCCAGAGCTTTCGTTACTGAATCTGAGGAATCTGCATTTTAAACAAGCACCACAATGATTTTGATGAAGTGGTACAAAAACCCCACTCACTGAACATTCGTATTCTACTGCCCAATCCAAATTCACTGCTGTTGATCAGAAACCTGACTCTGGGCAGCTTGTTTACCTCTTTAGTTTCCTCATTTGTAAAGTCAATCAACTGGACTGATTGAGCATCTCCGAGGGCCCTCAAGCCCTAACAAGGCTATGATTGACCCCAAATGTAAAAGAAATACAGTTTCAGCTAAGAACTTAGTCTTCATGCCAAGCCTAGTTTTTGCAAATCACTGGGTTTCTGTCTTTTTGCCCCCTTCTGAAAAAGTCTGTTTCTGTTAGTTCAGTTTCTGGGAGTACCTGCATAGCGGAATTCTGCAACTGATACCTGTGTTAATTTGGGCGACTTTTGCCATGCAAACAGGGAAACTTCCAGCAATCCTGAGAGACATCACATATACACAGTATGTGGTGAGACCCACTTGGGTAGGCAACACAGACATGTCCCCATCAGATTAAGCAGGTCCACATCCTACTGTACAACTTCCATGTGAGGACCTGGAAAACTCAATAGGAGGTTTTAACGCTGGTTGAACTTGAAGAGTATGAGCTAGATTTCCTGGAGAATTTCTTTGAGGAGAGGGATACTTGCATCCGCTTTACAGTCCGGACACTTCGACAAAGGAGAGCGTTCTTTGCATGGTCCCTGAAATCTTGTGAAACAAAATAATAGACAAAGGGGTCGATGCAGCTGTTGAGGGTGGAGAGGCAGAGGGCGACGATGTACAGGGCGTACACATGGCTCTGGCCTTGGGTTTTAATCAGGAAGTAATGCACCACGAGCAGAAGGTTACTCGGCGTGAAGCAGATCAGGTACATGGCCAGGACGGTGATGACGAGTTTGATGGCTCTCTTCCTTTTCCTCTCTGAGTTTTCATCCATGGCCGAGGATCGCAGCATCCTGATCATCAGCACGTAGGCAGAGGCCGTGAGGAAGGCTGGGAACAGGAAGACTCCAATGGCCAGAGAGAGAAAGTAATTGAACATGTCCCCCACCAACACATCCTCGGGCAGAACGTCATGACAGGTGGTGATGTTAAGAGCTGGAATGAAGATGGTCTGCTTCACAACATACAGGGGGATGGTTACCAGCAGAATCAGCAGCCATATCCCCAGGGAGACACCAATGGCAATGTTTGCCTTCTTCCTGGGGTGCGCCATGGGGTTCACGATGACCCAATACCTCTGCACACTGAGGCAGGTCATGAAGAGAATGGAACAGTACATGTTGCCGTAGAAAAAGCCAATGAGCACCTTGCAAAGAGCTTCCCCGTAAACCCAGTTGTTGCCATGTATGTGATAGGCAATCTTCAAGGGGAACCAGATGACAGACAGGAGGTCGGCCAAGGCCAGATTGGCCATGTAAATCACGGCCGGGTGCTTCTTCTTGGTTCGGAAAAGAAAGACCCACAGGGCCAAGCCATTACTTGCCAAACCAATCACAAATACGATTGTGTAGACAATCGGAAGAAAGACGGTAGTCAGTTTTCCAGTGAGGACGGACACAGAAAACTCATCCACGGAGAAGCCTCGTCCCACTGTAACTCCTTTTCCAGTGACGTGAGATGGGCTATCAATCTTACCAATAAGACTTCTTCCTCCAGAAGGTCTTCTGGCTCCTGTACAAGACAGGCAGACAATGGTCATTACAGAAATAAACACTTCGGCAGTAATGCTGGTTTGTTCAATGAAAGTACTTTAGATGAAGATAGGCATATACTATGGGAGGATTATATTATACAAAATGCTTATAGGGGCTTTCTTTGAGTGATGAGATTACTGGGATTTCTATTATCTTGTTTATTTTGTGGTTTTTTTTCCTTACAAGTACTATTTTATTGGAGAGTTGTAGGGAGTTGTAGGGTGCATGTGGAATGTGGAGTTCTAGGAATCTCAAAGACACTGACAGTATTTCAACTGGCTTTCACAAACTGTCCACATTCATTAGTTCCCAGCTGTTCTTATCATACTATCCATCATCAGTCCTTGGATGGGCCAATTAGTAAAAACCGGTTTAGGATTGTCTAGTAATTCCTTTCCAAATTCTCAAGTGTGTGAAATAGCAAGCCCTACCCTGCCATCCGTTTTCTAAGTTCTCACTTCATAGTTGTCATCTATCCTACTCGGGCCCTGAGCCAGGATCCGGCCCAGACTATTAGTCATACCCTATCCTGGAGCTTGGCATAGGGAGATTCCCAGGACCACAAGGGGCATCCCCTTTCCACCCACAAGGATGGCCTCAGCAACGGGCAGGGATTCCCCTGAGTCTGTGCTAGCTCCCTGGAGACCTTCCATGGAAGCCGGCTAGCAGGCAAGCCTCTGGCCTCACAGCCACTGGACAGGTGGGTGTGCTGATGACAGATTGTGTTCTAACTTTCAAGCACTTAACACAGCAAGCCACCTTACCACCCCACTCCCATGTTATGAATTTAACTTTACAAACCACAAACAAATGAATGGCATATCCACCCTACATCCTGCCCCAACCAAATGTCCATGGACCTGTAAGAGACAGTGAGGAAGAACTTGAGGACACTGAATAATTTTGCTTTAATTCTGAGGAACAGTAGGATACCAGGGAGGACATTAAACCTACTCATGAGTTTATCTAACGAATTTTATGCGTGGTCATCATTTTTCCTCTCCTAGCTTTGCACTATTGAGCAGGATCATTCATTTTCAAGGCTCGCCTATTTAGGACTAACAGAGGCTGGCCTGGTGGAGTTGCGGAGGATGTAGAGATCAATACTTTGCCTTTAACTTTGTGTAATGGGTTGAAAGGTAGCCCCCAAAAAGATATCCATGTTCTAATCTCCAGAATGTGTGAATATTACCGTATTTAGCAAAACGGTCTTTGCAAATATAATTAAGGATCTTGAGATGAGAAGATCACACTAGATTATCTAGGTGGGTCCTAATTCCAATGCAAATATATTTTTAAAGAAGCAGAAAGAAACTTGAGACAGACAGAAAAGGAGAAGACACAGGAGAAGGTGGTATGAGAATGGAGGCAGAGATTGGAGTAATGCCAAGGAACAGGTCAAGAAATGCCAAGAAATGCATTATCACAAGGAAAACCCATTTTTTCCTCAGTACCAAAAAAAAAAAAAAAAATTATGTAACTTGCTCCATAAAAGGAAGGAAACTCTAGGCATTGATTACCCATAGCTACTAACATCACAAAAGGAGACAAGCAGACATCCTGTGTCTCCTCAGGGAAGAAGCACCTGTGAAGTATCCTTGCCAGAAGAAAGAACTGGAATCTCACTGTCTTAGTCTGTTGGCGCTGCTTTAACAAAGTACCACAGACTGGGTGGTGTAACGACGGAAATTTATTTCTCACAATTTCAGAGACTAGAAGTCTGAGATTAGGGTGCCAACATGGCTGGATTCTGCTGGGGGCTCTCTTCAGGTTGAGGATACAACTTCGTGTTGTATCCTCATGTGGCCAAAAGTGCAAGCCAGTTCTCAGGTCTTTTCTTGCGAGGGCAGTAATCCCAAGATTAAGACAGAGCCCTCCTGACTATTTACCTGCCACGGGCCCCACCTGCTACTACCATCACAGCAGGGACTGGAGTCCGACATACGAATGTGGGGGCACAAACATTCAGTCTGTAACACTAATCAAGCACCTGAATCCAACGACCAAATTAATGGGCAATGGGATGTGTTAACACAAGAATGTAGTCAGCAAGATGCAGGCTGTGGGAATTGCTACAGGACAAAGGACCAGTTTCTTCAAAATATAAATTACAAGGCAAAAAATAAGAGATGGAATTTATAGATTAAAAGATTTAAAAGACATGTCAGTCATATAATGTGTATACCTTATTTCGATCTTGACTCAAACAAACCAACGAAGTAACATTTATGAGGCTGGGCATGGTGCCTCACACCTGTAACACCAGCACATTGGGAGGCTGAGGTGAGAGGGTCGCTTGAGCACAGGAGTTCCAGACCAGTCTGGGCAACATAACCAGACCCTGTTTCTACAAAAAATTTAAAAATTATCTGGGCATGGTGGCATGTGCCTGTTGTTCTAGCTACTCTGAAGGCTGAGGTAGGAGGATCGTTTGAGCCCAGAAGTTTCAGGGTTGCAGTGAGCTATGATTGTGCCACTATACTCTGGCCTGGGTGACAGAATGAGACCCTGTCTCTGAAAAATATATATATATAACATTTGTGAA